TGACCAGTAAATAAATTCGTGACTTATAACTATGAATATGTGACCATTAATCACAAAAATGTGACTTTATTATCTTTATTTAATAAAAATAAAAATAAAACCTAATTTTTGAATTTTTAAACTATAAACCTGATTTTTGAATTTAGAAACTTAAATACCTTATTTTTGATTTTTTCCCTTTATTCAACCTTTTAAGCCCGTCTCATATTTTCTTAAACGTTGAATTGAAAAGATTGGTAAAATTCTACTTTCATTTTATTTTTTGGAGGTCTGTGAAGCCCTTTCTTATATATATTTTTTATTTTTTTTTTTATTTATTTTTTTTTCCCGCTTGCTATAGATTCTTCACAATCTTGTAATCATTTCGAACCTAACAAGAAGAGAGAACAATAAACATAAAAGAGACGTGTTAAGCAAAAGTCAGACAAAAAATGGCATCTTCTTTAAAAATAAGAATATTTATTAGTTTATAAGTAAATTTACTCAGAAAATACTTTTTGCAATAAGTCAAAATTATTCCGTCTTGCCATCTACAATTTTATAATCAGAATTCATCGCAAAGAAGAATATTCCGAACTTTAAAAAAATATTATAAATAATAATTAGTAAATAGAATTTGATGGGGTGCACTAATTATTGCATTCCATTCTCCTTTAACATAACCTTTTCTTTTCAGCCGTCTATGTTTACCCAAGATTTCTTTATTATCGAAAATTAAGCTGTAGTTTGGTGTCAATTAAAATCATATTTTTAGTAATTTTTTTTAAGAGTTGATGAATTGTGTGATTAAAAAGTTGTGGATCTCATCAAATGTATCGTTAAAATTTATTGTTGATTTTTATATCAGGTTGTAATCTACTATATATATATACTAAAGCCTCTGTATGAGCCTTATTTTTGGAGATAGATTTTATAAAAAGTGATTAAAAAGTAAATAAAAATTTTGATTTACGTACAAAATTATTTTATTCAGGGAATATATATTTCTAAAATTGGGTTTGGAAAAAAAAAATTACTTTAAAGAATAGGGCTCAAACTGGGCTAAATATATTTAGATCTAACCACCTAAAAATTGCAATTAATTAATGATTAATATGGCTCAATGTTGTAATGCGAAGGACCCAACTCCTTCCCTCATCAAGGTGAACATGATCTCGTTCGATTTGATTTGGTTGAGAGTCAGGTCGAATTGAGTAGCACTAAAAATTCTGCACTTTAACCCAAATGGCTCCATTAATCCATCCGCCACTCTCCTTGAGGTGAGAATGATCCGATTCGGTATGATTTTATTGAAAATTAAATAAAACAGAGTAATATTGAAAAATCTATACCCGAACCAAGTGGAGCCTTAGGGTGAGGCACCTCAAGCACACCCACCACCCAACCCTTCACCTTGGGGCGAGCATAGATTGATTAGGTCCAATTCTAACATGATTCGAAACCGAATACCAATGAGTACTCATAAAATCAAATGGTTATGCCACCATAGGTGGAGCCTTTCTAGTTTCCCATTCACATGGCTGGCATCCCTCACCCCGCACCTCAGGATTCAACGAACCTGATTCTACCCCCACATCCCCCCAAAACGCATCTTGACCTTCCCCCCATTTGATTCCACAAAAAGAGTCATCCATATGGGCGGCTGAGCTTGTCTCTCTCCTGTCCCCTGAATAGAGAAGCAGTTGCCTCAAAGGTGCTGCCACTCCAGCCGACAGCTTTACTTGCCTTTGTCCGAAATTTATGCAGTTGATACCAATAACGTGCTTAAATATAAATCCTTCCCCCTTTGTAAGTATCACATATCTATATAACAACACCTTTTAGTTTTCTTCACACACAAGTATTTTACCTTGAAACAAAGGCTTTAGCTTATTTCAAGAAATTCATCGGATACTTCTTCAAACTTGTTCACAAACTTGCCTTTGAAAGTTGAGGGCTTTTTTGGGGTACAGAATTATTTCATAAATTAAGAGTTCATTTGGGAAATTACCAAAAGTGACTATGGCTCATCAAAATGATCTAAATCTCAAGGCAACTGAGCTGAGATTGGGATTGCCAGGCACAGATGAATCTGAGGACATGGTTTCTACCGCAAAAAATAACAAGAGAGCCTCGCCTGCGTCTGTTAATGACAGTGGATTAAATTCTGCAGCAAAATCTGCTGATAATGAAACCTCATCTGCATCCAAGTAAGTCGTGCATCAAATTTGTTCGATTGTGCAGAGCTTAATCTATATACGAAGTTTATGTGAGGTTTTTGTCAGCATGCAACTGACCTGCTGGATTGGTATTTGATTTTTCAGGGCTCAAATAGTTGGATGGCCACCGGTGAGGTCCTATCGGAAAAACAATCTCCAGCCCAAGAAGGCAGACTCTGAAACTGGGATATACGTGAAAGTAAGCATGGATGGAGCACCTTATCTTAGAAAGGTTGATCTCAAAGTTTATAATGGATATTCAGATCTCCTCAAGGCTTTAGAAAGCATGTTCAAACTCAGCATAGGTAAGAATTCATTCTTAATTTCTTGCATTATTATCTGCACAAGATATACAATTATAAGGCCAATTTGGTACAACATATTGTATAGGATTGGAATGTTCAGTATCGTTCAGTTCAACTTACCAAATATTCCTCAACTAGGATTTCCATGGGTTGCGGTTTTGTTCTAATGGAAGTATGGTATTTAATTTTATTCATCAGGGGAGTACTCAGAGAGGGAAGGCTACAAAGGATCAGAATATGCACCTGCTTATGAAGATAAAGATGGTGACTTAATGCTTGTTGGAGATGTTCCATGGGAGTAAGTTCCTTCTCTCTGTCTGTGCACGCGTTATTTGCGTAAATGCACATACAAATAATATTAGGACATATCTGATACACAGTCCTCGATATGACTAATACTAATCTTGTTTATGTATGTTATTGTGCAGCATGTTCATGTCATCCTGCAAGAGACTCAGAATCATGAATGGATCAGAAGCCAAAGGCCTAGGTTGTGCCTTATGATCCCCAAAAGTTTCAAATCGAATCCCTCTTACAAAGCAAGAATCTTATTACAGCTTGAGTTGTCGAAGAATCTTGATTGCGAAATCCTCAATTTTAGCAAACAATTTCCTTCAAACCTCGAATGGGAGGTTCAACAGGAAGACATAAAAGTTTGCAGTTTTCTTAGCATAATTTACAGCAGGAATACCATGGTGGTTTTACGATCCTGTGATTTGAATGTTTTGTTTGTAATAAATATATTAATACAATACATGCAAAGATAAATTTTCTGAGAGAAATTGTATAAAGAACTTCACATACAATATAAAGGAAAAAAAAAATTTATGTTTGTGATGTAACAATATATTGTTGTATGAAAGAAAATATATTAAAACTTTATTTATGTAATTCTACTTAACGCTATTTAAATAAATATGAAAAATACTTAAAATTGTGCATGTAATAAAATTCATAGTGGTAATTTAATTACCTAATAAGATTCAGTAGTGCGGGCAGCATTTAAAAAAATAAAAATAAAAATCCATATGCTGCTTTAGTGTTCAGGTACATTCCACTCTATAGAATGTGATTAATATTGATTGCTTGACTTTAATTTAAATTAAAATCAGATTTAATCCGGTTCAAATAGGCCACGGCACCACCGGCGCGTATGGAACTCATGGTGGAAATGTTCCGGGCAATTGGATCATCATTTAAATTCAGCATTTCTTGATATTTGGGTTGGTGGAATGCGTGGTTCTTAACCTGTTTAATAGTGGCGTGCACATTTTTCGAACTTTTCGACTATGTTCGAAAAAACTTTGTAATCTGTTTTTCATTATAGTAAAAATTACCAAAAAGAAGAGCTAGCGTGAGTAGCATAAACAATGACAGTTAAAATGTTATTTATTTTTATTAATTTTAAAATGAATTAAGTAAATTAGTACATTACATAAAATAATAACGAAAATAATTTGACGTAGTTTAGGAACTGCGTACATTCATGAGCCATGCCTAGTTATTGAACAATACACTAAGTTATAATAGATTATGGACACTAGGACTTTAACCCATGTTTGGCTTAGATAAAAAGTTGATAAAAATCTAAGTCAAAATTATAGATTAACTTTAACCACACATTTATTGAACCCGCAACTTTTATCAACTGTCACGAAAGCTCGCTCCAAAACCTTCGAAACGGTGATTTTCGGGCTCAATTTTACATTACATTTTTTATCAAACAACCAATCCAAACAGTTTCGACTCATAACCAGTATATTCATCTCAATTGCTTCTCAATCTCATCCTCAAATGACAAGATATCGGTATTGATTTGTAACCACAAAGGCAAGAAGAAAACTAATGGAAGATGACACAAGAAGAGACCAAAATCAAAGGAGCCACACGGCTTTTGAAAGCACAAAGCAACCGGTTTTTTTCTTAATTGAGCAGCCACATTTTCTTTTATTCCTCACAAATCACACACACACACACACAAAAAAAAATGGGCCAAGGTAAGTAGCCTATATATAGGAATATGTTAGATTCCAGTTGGAGCAAGAAATATATAAATTGGCTAAAATCAAGAATCGTCCAATAGATGAATATATGAATCGTGGGCAATATTAATTCACTAAACTACTTCTAATGGTGTTGTTTTTAAGTCAAGCATTTGGACTTGGTTGTTGGTAATCAGTTCACCATTGGCCGAAGCTTGTGAAAATATATTCCGACATTTTACATCATGGCTCGAGATTTATTGAGCATCAAAACCAAACAAATCTCCACCTTAATATCCGATTAATTTGTAAACAATCAAAATACAAAGTTAATACTTGCATAATCAAGGTAACCAATAATATTTGGATCACAGACATTACCTCGTATTTCGGATCCGAAATACATACCATAGTTAATTTATATACTCATCTGGGCTAAGATCAAGAACTCAAATAGAAGCAAATAATCACAGTAATCAATCAAGAGCAAATAAACATGCGATGAAGATATAAGATAAAATAACATAGATCTTTTGAAAACACGTTCATACAGACCAACAGACTAACACCAATTTAATCGACAAATGGCCAACACATATGTATCAAATACATAAATGACCACACAACAAAATCTTACCACACTTATCCTATCTCATTCCGTATTGCTCACACTTCGAGAACACATATCTTCTCTCATTGTCCACCATGCTCACTAAACTGATCACTCAACTCATGTCTAACTGGTAAACCACAATAGACCCTAAATCTACGGGATCATAAGCGGCAATGGGTATCCACTTTACAGAAGTGATAAAAGTGTCTATCTCACACTCTACCCGATCAAGGTCTTAACAAATAGAGAATTCCAACAACGATAGTTTATATGCACCCACAAAGAAATAGTAGAATAGAGAAGACAATTGAAAACTCTCGAAAGAATCCAAAGACGACCACACATTAATGTTTTCCCTCAATGCATATCAACACTAGCAATATTTAATCACACATCCCCCGTACATATCACAAATGCACCCTCATGCATTTATACTCTACATTATCAAAAGACATACGCCTTACTGATTGCTATTGCATCCTAACCCAGTATGTATGCAATTTTCACCAAGTAATCAGATTACTCTCAAATTCATGCAAATGCACATATCAAACATATTGAAATGTCATATAACCATGCAACAGAATTAAATAATCACACACATGCAGAAAATATCACACAGATGCAAATGCAGTAACCAAATTTACTATCAATAAACCTCACTAAGGTCATCACTCGACCCAAAAGCAACATTCGTCCCCACGTCTTCATTAAACCAAATTTCCTATCAATGCACATCAACACCACTAGCATTTAATCACATCTCCAATCGTAATTCAAATGTCACACATCCCCCGTATATATCACTAACGTACCTTAGCATCTATACTCTACTTTACCGAAAGACATACTTCACACTGACTGCTACTGCATCCCAACCCAATATGCATACGAATACATTACACCAAGTAATCAAATTGCTCTCAAATTCATCAAATGCACATATCAAACATATTGAAATGTCATATTACCATGCAACAGAATTATGCAATCACACACATCCAGAAAAGATTACACATGACTACAAATGCAGTAACCAACTTTCTTATCAATAAATCTCATTAGGGTCATCACTCGACTCAAAAGCAACATTCGCCCCACCTCTCATCTTACTTTTTACTTATCCTTCTTTTTGGGATAATCCTTCACAAAATGTCCAGACTTACCGCTGTTGCAACACAACTTACTACCAGACTTGTCCTAACCCCTGCCCTTCTTCTTACCACCCTCATTACTCAAGTCACTACTATCTTGATCCTTACCCATACTCATTTGCTTAATCTTCATTCTATTGCTCATCATATGTTCATCACCACTCTTCTTATCGTCAATTTCAGCCTTAATCTCTATCTCTTTACTTCTAAGAGAATTAATGACAATCACATGTGTTAGGGTATCCCTACCTATTTAATCGCATTCTTAATTTCCCTATATGAGTCAGCATAGAATTCAACAAAATAATGACCTTATATGTTTCAAACACCTTTTCATTACAGTTAACAATATCTTGAACATATTTGTTAAAAATATACAAATTATCATCAAGATCCTTTGAATGATTCAATCTTTTAAGAAAATACAACTTATTAGGTGTAGATTTAAGCAAATATATGTCCACCAACTTTTTCCAAAATTATTTTGTAGAATCAAGTTTTTCAACTTTTCTCAAAACAATATCATATAGGTGTAAAATAATTGAAATATAAACAAATTTATCATATTCTTCTTTTTGTACTTTTATCAAATCGACGAAAAAATTGCTATCTACAGCTTTTGAAACATTTTTTTGAACAAAAATTCCCTTCATCTTTTGTTACCAAATTGAAAAATTCATTTTTTCATTGAAAATTACAATTTCGAAATGTGAAGATATTTTGAAAAACAGAACGATCAAAGTTCACAAACAGGTAAACAAAACAAACAAAGTGTACAATAAGTCACACAAAGTAATCCTAAGGCCGACGCAATATACTCCGTTCTAAACTCCCAGGATTTCGTGAGATTTGGGATCTTTGTATCAAGAGAATGGTCAAACAAGTCAAGCCCAAATATTCTAATAGAATAATCAATGCAACATAAATGTATGTTAACAAAAATTTAGTTTCTCACGTAATGTTGTCTCACATAATGACTTAATGGCAATTAAACACAAAATCAATTATTAACTTACAATTAAATTCAACACTTCAAATATGACAAATAATTCTTAAATTCTAGTACAAGCAATGGTTACTCCACAAAAGAAGCCACAATCCTTATATCATCCTCACATGATGAGTCACTAATACTGGAATTTAAGCGGTATAGCCAATATATCAAAGCCCACCAATCTGCAGTCTGTAAATAACAAGAGATGCGAATTTATCAGTTTAGTGTCACCACTATTCGCCATATAGCCTCCAACAATTGCAAAAATCAATCAACCAAGATTGAATCCCAAAAATGTAAAGAGAAAAATCATTCAGATTTCACTGAGACAGAAAAATAATGATGCCAAAATGTCAGAAATGATGTTAGGAACAAATTGCCTGAAGACAACGTCGCCAAATTCCTCTTCACGCGTCGTCAGAGTGCTTTGCGTTTGGGGTTAACGCGCCTAATAGCTAAGATCGCCTCCACCTGCACATCACGCTAGTGATGTCCGTTTCACAAACCGATCACTGGATTGGTCAAAATTCTCACCAACAAATCCCTTTTTCAAATCACACACTAAAAAAATAGCTTGGGTAAGTAGCCTATATATAATAATAGTTTAAATTCTAGTTGGGCCAAGATAAGGATAAATGGGCTAGAATCAAGGGTTGTCCAATAGATGAATATATAGGCTGAGCAACATTAATTTCTTAAACTACTTCTAACAATCCAAGTTATTTTTGAGTTGAGCTTTTGAACTTGGCTGTTGGCAATCA